TGGGCAGGCGTGATGATGTGTGTGGAGGCAGGTGCTGGGCCGGAAAAAGTGCTGTTACCTGGGTTAGGCAGTGACTGTGGCAGCATGGTGGGAGCATTTGCTGGGTTGATCAAGGCCACTTGGTTCTCAAGTTTCTCCAGTCTCTCATTGATCAGATTAACTGAAGAGAGAAGAGTGGACATGGTGGCCTGAAGTCCAGGCGTGCTCCCGTCGATAGCCTGTGTACTGGTGCCTGGTCGCGGGGTGTCGGGGTTATTGTTCAGGAGGCGGTACAGTTCCGCTTTGCGGGCCGTGGCCGGGTATGGTATGCCTCATCTTCTGAGCTCAGCTGCAATCTTGGGAACGGTCCAGGAGCGTAGGGACGCTGGACTAGCCGTCTCTACCAGCTCCACTGGGGTACAAGGTCTGGTAGGGCTAGCGACCCTGGCTGGGGTGCTGGGTAGGGAGACTTCCTCGGCTATGTCCGAAGCGTGTGACATTCTATAACGTGAGTAAGTACATCAATTAGAGGATGATGGTTCGACTAGGGTGAATATTATAATAGGAATAATTTATCTCTTTATGTAGGGAGTGAACTGCCTTGTAACGGGGGGGGGGGTGGTGGTGACTGACGTGCTCGTACGTGAATATGGAGAGTTTGCCCGTGAAGTCGGTGAGCGAAGTGGTCTAGATGTGAGGACCAATTTTTTTGAGCGTAAGGACGTGTGACGTAGAGTGAACTATGACCCTGTTTTGGGGGTGTTGTGCTTGATGGCGAGTTCGATGGCCTTGTCCACTGAGAGAGGAGGTGGTTAGGAATCGTGATCGAATTGAGGCCGTAGTGTGGGCCTTGTGAACTGTTGGCCTGTCGGGTGCGTGTCTGACAGGGTGACTATAAAAGGGAAAAAAAGCGGAAAACGAGATACTTACTTTGGTAAGCGAGTTTTCTCACGATAGCATTGACCTATGGAGAAGAATTAGCGTCTTGCGAACTGGTATGGCATGTGGGTTGCCAGAGTTGGCTCGATCTGCGTAACTTGTCCGGTGGATATTAAGGGAGGACTATGCGTTGTCCCTTAGAGCCTAAGTGAAATTAAAATGAGTGTGTGACTGAGATATTGATGTTGGATTGACAAGACCATGTTGCTTACTTACCTATGTATTACTGGTAGCGTGGTATCCCAAGATTGTTGTGTCCAGTATGCAAAAAGGTAGCCTGGATAAAACAGGTATGTGAATAGAATTGAATTGAAATTTTTTTTTTTTTTTTTTTTTTTATGATTTGAGATTGACACGTGGTAGAAACGGGAGTGAAGGTAGATTTATCAGGGTGGGAAAAAGCGTAACGTGCATGAAATAAGAAATATACTACTAAGCTTGTAGTATTATTTATTGGAAACCCCAGGGATTTAAACTGTGGGCAGATTGCACCTTTCCGTGTGTGTGACTCGTGTGGAAGGGGGTCTGGCCGTCGGCACTCGTGGTAGTGCTTTGCCAGACCCCTAGCTAGACCACTAGAACAGTTTGATTGTGACGGATGGAAGGAGGGAGGGGGGGGGCTGGAGGCGGCATAAATGCTGAAAATTTGGGGGTGGGGGACAGGTGTATACTGGAGTAATTCCCTGCCCCTGACTGATATACTTTTTTTTAATTTTTTTTTTCTCGCCGTTGAAGTGAACCTTTCCAGCGCTCCCAAAGTCGGGGTACGAGGCCAGCAGTGTCACGGAGGAAGTGTTCGGCTATGACCGGGCTTGATGGGTGGGGAGGATTGCTGGTGAAACTTGCCGACCTTCCAGCTTCCCCACGAGACCGGCAACTACGGGGGTACGCGGCCAGCAGAGTGTCACGTGACCAGAGTGTCACGTGACTGGAAGTGTTCGGCGTTATGGCCGGAGGTGAATGCTTCGGTGGGGGGGCCCGGCCCGGTGACCTGCGAAAACGGTTTCACGGGGGCTGGCTGAGATGATGTGGGGTAGGGAGACACTGCGGTCGTGGGGAATGGTTACAAATTCCAGTGTCAGCATGACTAGACATAAAATATGAAAACACCTGAAAATACATAATAAACATCTAGGAACCGCCCCAAGTTATTCAAATAGCGCTCAGATCCCACAAATACAGCCGAATCGCCACCGGGGTAAAGTTTGCATGATTTTTATCTCACTAGTCTCACGATCGATCTCTCACTGTAATGTTGTTTAGAATCACTATGGTAACGGCATGTGATTACGCCGGCATCACGTGATCACACACGTAGGGGTGTTTCGGTAGTCGGATCGACAGGAGGAGTTGGAAACTAGGGATATCGCAGTGATTCTGTAAATTTTATTATTTTTTCACTTCTAAATATTGTACACTTTATGGCTTGAAGCATCTTGATTAAGACTGCTAGATGGTTGATGGAATTTATGCTTTTGTAAATACAACTAATTGAATTGATTCACAAAATCCAGTGAGTGCTCTCGTTTTTGGTTGATAGAGATATATATATATATATATATATATATATATATATATATGTACAGCACTACGGAATTTGCTGGGGCTATATAAATAAAATAAAAATTATAAGTGTGTGTGTATATATGATTAATTGTTATAAATTTATAATCATTCTATACTAATTTGAACATATTATTCTCCCTTTATGTTTGTTGTCTATTTTTTCAAGCTGTCTATATATAGACTACCTACCTGAAGGTGCACTTGTTTTGTGCATGGAATGCGTAGTTTAATAAGACAATATACAATTTAATATATTTCAGTAAAGCAAGCACACAGCAAACCTTTTTATTTGTTTTTTTTAATTTTTTTAAATGCAGTGTACATAGTCTCTCCACTCCAATTATAAGCCCCCCTGGGATGCTCTCATGGGGTATTAAACTGCATGTGGGTTAATTACATCGTTATGAACGCTTTAGTAACCCCAGGGGGCAGAAATGCTTTTAATTAGTTCTGCTCATTGGAGAACTGATAACTTGACTAATAGATTTAAATACAGGTGAACTCTGTTTTATCTGATCTTGGTAACATAAGTGCATGTTAATGTTTATAAATAAAACGTATTTTTTTTTTTAAGGAATATATTGAGCATTATAGGTTACTGTAGTGGCTATGATGCAAGAAGTGCCCTGCCCTCCCTTCCCCTCTCCTTGTAAGTAGTCGAACCATTCTTGAACAGTTTGACTTCTTACATGGGTTCTTCTGGGTTCCATTCCCAGCCTACATCGATAATGCCAGAGACAGAAGCTCCCATGCAGGAACTTTTATTAAAGGGACACTACAGTCACAAGAACAAGTACTGCTAATTTGTATTTGTTCTGTTGAGTATAGTCAGTCTCTCAGGCTTTTTGCAGTAAACGCTGTCTTGTCAGAGTAAATACAGTGTTTACAATACAGCCTAGGGATAACTCCACTGGCCACTCCTCAAAAGGCTGCTATAGGTGCTTCCACCGTCTGTACGGAGACACAGAACTTTCCTCGTAGAGATGCATTGATTCAATGTATGAATCAGCTCTCATGGCTTAACTTGTGCCAATAACCAGTGAGATGCAGATATTAAAGCTAGTCAATTATCAAGTAGAGCTGACTATATGAGATCAGATGACCAGCTTTCTGTGTGCTCTGCCATCCTAAAGCAAGACTATGGAAGATGGGACAAGACTCTGTGGGTCAATTGGACTTCCAGATAGGTTTTAGATAATGATAGCTGATCCAGCTACGTGAGATATAGAGAGGTTGGTAAGCAAGCCCGCCTTAGGGTTGTGTGACCTGTACACACTGCAAGAGTTTGTCGCCACAACACCATAAATGAAGGCTGGTGGTGAGTTGTAGGAGGTGTAATGGTCAAGCAGTCCTTATAAAATCGCAAGGCAATGACGGATTTCTGGGAAGCCGGAGGTGTGTGCTCTGTTCCAAATAACATTTGCTTCTTCCATATGTGACTGAATATTACACAACTCCCTACGGGACATTCAGACACTTGTAATTGATTATGTCTGTAAGAGACAGGCAATTTTATACTGTAAATGGCTTTACGGCATGTAGAACTATAGGCACTATAAGCACTTCAGCAAATTTAAGTGGTTAGCATGCCTGGAGTCCATGGGTGCCAGGTTTTGCATAACTGCTAAATGGTTTTCTCATCATTTAGTAACATTTCTTGGTACCCTGCAATCTGGCTCCAATTTGGCAGAGGCAAAGCTGTTCATGCCATACCAGAGGTAGCGTGCAGTGATTGTCTAAGAGCATCAGTTGCGCACTCTCAACCAGTCACTGCCCAATCCCTGCTGTAAAATAATTTGACGTGCGGGAGAAGCATAGCTTGTCTCCACCATAGCATCATTGGAGGTCGGGCTGCAGGATTGTAGGGGGACCGAGAATCTCTACTAAATGGTGAGTAAAGCTTTTAGTAGTTATGCAATATCTAGCTTCACAGACCCCATGCACCAGGACAACTTCAGCCCAATGAAGTGGTTATGGTGCCTACAGTGTGCCTTTAGATATTGATAGTCATGATGGAAAGGGTAACCCTGATAGTTAGGTCATAGGAGTAGGTAGGTCATCCTGCAGCTGGGCATCAGTCTCTTCCCTTTGAAAATGTATTCCAGAATGATCTATGTTGCCATTTTAATCAAACCATACTTACTATGTGTGTTTCTGTCTTGTAATGTATCGCATTTTCGTTTCTTTTTGACTTTCTCGCTGCTATTTTTATTATGTGTATCAATCAAAATTTGTTGAATAAGTGGAATTTCTTTAACCATCTGGTTTAGAGCTTTAAAAATCTGTTACACATTTCGATTAATCTTTCGAAATCTCAGTTATAAGGTTAAAAATTACTGGTGGGTACACAGACTAACTCCGTTCCCAATTACTTGTCTGTCCAAAGGTTGCATTTAGTAAACTCTGTATCCTATTGACCTGTTTCTCAAGGTTTACCAATAGCACTGTGTTGGTTTCATCACCCGAGTGATGAAGACCTCTTACGTTAGATTCTTTTTGCAGAGGCTTTTGATTCATGCAAGGTACGTAAACTCTTGTGGAAATGAAATTCCTCATTCTATGTTACTGTGTGCAGGAAGAGAAATGACTCACATAGTAAAACAAAAAGAACACTTCGCTTCGTGTTTGATTAGCACACACATATCATTTTATAAAAGCCAGAACACGAACTGAGGTCGTTTTTGTCGGCTGTTAGTTTGTATCACTGTGTTCACCACCTGACGGAAGAGCTGTCACGATGCTCGCGGTTTTGAGATCTGTGCTTATCTTGACAAAACCAATTATAAAACAGAAAAGGTAAGATTTATTGAAAATAAAACATTGTATCACGAGTATTGATAAACACATATTATTTGATTTATTTTGTATCTGTGTAGTATAATTTTAGCAGGGAGTTCTACAATTGTAGGCATTGTTAGTTTTATAAGTACTTTCTTATTTTAATTTACAGTTTCTAATGGTTAACGTGAATCTGTCCTAACTTTTGCTTTAAATTATCCTAATCTTGTATGTTTTATCTATCTATCTATCTAGTTACATAGATGAAAAGAAACTTGTGTCCATCATGTTCAGTCTTCCTCACATTTGTTATTTGCTCTTGATCTAAAAGAAGGCACCCTCCCATTTGAAGCACTTCCAATTTTGCAACATACTAGGGAAAAAAAATCTTGACCCCAGAATGGCAGTCAGATTTATCTTTGGATCAAGCAGTTATTACCCTACATTGAAAAATGATATCTATGAATATTCTCTTTTAAGTATGCATCTAGTTTCTGTTTGAACATCTGTATGGACTCTGATTAAATCACTTCTTCAGGCAGAGAATTCCATTCCTTTTATTAATCTTGTAGCCCGTCTCTGCACCCTCTCCAGTGCCATAATATCCCTCTTTAGAACAGGTGCCCAAAATTGCACAGCATTTTCATGATGTGGTCTAACCAGTGATTTATAAAGAGGCAAAATTATATTCTCACCTCGAGAATAAATACCCTTTTTCATTCATGACAATACCTTAGTGGCCTTAGCCACTGCTGAGTGACATTGCACATTGTTGCACAATTTGTTGTCTATAATAATTTCCAAGTCCTTTTCGTGTGAGGTTATCCCTAATTCGCGTCGCATTTTTCAACATTAA